ATAAATATATATAATTATATATAATTATATGTAAAACATTTTTTCCCGGGGCGTTTCAAGAGACAGAAGTAAGATTAAGGTAACAACAAAATAAATAATTTTATTATTTATTATTCATAGTTCATTTATTATTCATAGTTTATTTATACACATGATTGGTGGGATAATTAGGAAGATTGTGAAAGTTGTGGAAGAGAATACATGCTGTAGATTTTAATCATAAAAGAAACGCTACTTGAACGGCTGAATTGGAAAGATTGCAAAGGCCATTAGATGTCAGACCATCATGCTCTCTAGTATTACGTGTCTGAACTGCCTCAATTTCGTCATAATTTTTTTTTGGGCAAAAATGAGCGAGTGGAATCACCTATTATTCTCACCGTGGTCCATTTTCTATATCTTTAAATATAACTAACAAAATTTAAATTAGATATTCCTATATAGTCGTTATATTGTTTTCCAGTAAGCGAGTAAATTATTCGTAAAGCAAGTAAGAACTTTAAATTAATAAATTAATAGCAATCGTTATTAATTTTTCATAAATTGATGAATATGTAACACATTTGTACAACACTGTACAAATCTGTTACATATTCATAACGTGCGTGTAATATGTAGGAAGTAAGAACTGATTCTATTCGAGCGTGTCTCGTTCACACATTCGTTTTGCAATTAATACAATAATACTTACGTCGAAAGTTCTCTCCCTAGCAAGCCAGTTCCGACTAATCCAGTACGCGATCGACTCCTATTTAGTTGCGCTCTCCTTTCCGCTGTAAAATTAAAATAAAATTAAACTCATTATAATAGACTTGAATTTGAGAATAATAGGATTTGTATCAGTGGAATGTATATTTTGAAAGAACTTATGCACTTTATAAGTGAAACTTTTTTTTTGATAGTTATTATGTGAAAGAGAAATGGAACTTTATATTTTATATATATATTAATCATATACCGATATTTCAGCAATACATTTTTGCATTAAATAATACAATTTACCTTACAACATTTAACATATCAAGGAGAACAAGATAAGACAGTTAAGTAATTTGTTATTGCATTTAATTATAAATATATATATATATACGTTTTTATACAAAATAGTCTTTGGTACATGTTTCATCAAAAACTCAAGTAGTTTGTGTCACACTTAAAATTTGTAATAACAATTATAAACAAAAAATACATAAATAATCATAAAAATCGTTTAAATTTTTATAAACCAAAGAAAAAAATTTATTTTAATATTACATTATAATCACACCAAGTAACAGAAAAAATTGTAAAATTACACATTCACCTCATATCTCATTAAATTTTGAAATTTGAATATAAATGATCGGAATGATATGACAGAAGCACCTTGACTTTATTATTTTTATTTTACTATTGCGTTCTCATAATTTCTGCAGTATGATTACAAGATCAATAGAATATATTTTTGTGCATCAAATATATATATAAAACTCAAGACTTTTTATTACAAATATCCATTTTCATTTACTTAAAAAGTTTGACATATATTAATTAAATAAAATGTTATATAAAATTTATATGCTATATGAAAATAATATATTTTAAATTTTTTAATTCTTTATAAATCATAAATATTACAATTATCAGTTTTGAATAGTTCGCACGATACGTAAATATATTTACGAATCCATAGGTAAACGAAAGTTTTATTTATGTATTGTACATTGTATCAAAACTATATATTCTCGCTATTTTCAAATAAATAAAAAAATTGTTAAAAATTATTGACATTAATATGACTAATGCAAAGTAATGATTCCTACACTGCATTTTAAAAATATAAAATATATGACACAATATTAGATTATAAAAATATTATTGCAATATGCACAACATGAGAATGTCGCACATTTTAATGGAAAAATCAAATGACTCAAAGTATGCATCATAACACTTTTTTGAATAAGTTTCTTCGCAACAATAGTTACAAAATATTGTTTTCTCTCGCGTCAGTTTTTCCATTTTTAGTCTTGTATAAATACTACAGCAGCAAATAATTCTATTAAACAATATTTATCGATATTTGCCAAAACTTCCACTTATTTTTCCATGAACTATCTTTTAGTTTTTTCAATTTATTACGATTTCTTGTAGTTAAATTACTTGTTTCCGGAACGAATTGCTTGTATATATTTGCAAATTGTCCAGAATTTTCGGACAAATTTAAATTTTTTGTAGCAATACGAATAGAGTTTGATTTTATAAAATGCAACGGGCTATTTTCCGACAATAACATAACGCTACTTATTTCTGTCACTAATGGCGATTGTGTTTTAGTCTGCTCACTATTCGAAAACTGAGTAGACATGCTCGAATTTAAAAAGCCTGAGTTTTTCAAATCCTGTATGTTTTGACTTTCGTCATATCGTATCAAGTTTTCAAAATTTCGCGATCTTAAAAGTCTCATCGGAGAGAAGGCTGGTTTGAGTATTTTAGTATGAAAATCATCGTTCGATTTTGACATCTTTTGATTTACAGAATTCATGTCTATATCTGATGTATTGATAATCGATGGCATAGTGATACTCATACTGGGTAGACTTTGCAAATAAGCATGAAGCTTACTGCGTTTTGCAATTGTATTGCTCGCATGTATATGTTTGCAATTCAATATAGTGCGGCGCACAATGCTGTTTCTTTTGCGTATTTTGTTGACTACGACGCGTCTTTGCTTAACCGGGCTAAGAATACATGCTCGATTAACAGAGACGTCTGCACCGATTAATGGACTTGAGTCCCAGTCAGTCTTAATGCACCTGGACTCAAAGTTTCTAAATGTTTTTAGCAAAATGTCTCTTTTGGGTGTTTCGTTGAATACCGGCATCGTCGCATAATACGCGCGATTACAACGACTGCACAGTTTCTTTTTTTTAAAGAACGTAACTTTGGACGAATGCTTCGCCTGCCTAGGCGTCTTTTTCGCCTCGTCCAGCATTTGTTTGTAGATTTCTTGATTTTCTTCCGGCGTAAAGAAATTTATTGAATTGCCCGCCGTGCATATTTCTTCAGCCATAATCCTGTTCTGGAGCATATGGCATCGCATGATTTCAGTTGAAGTTAGATTTTCACATTCGTGCATTAACTTATTTCTAGTAGATTTGTCTAAAGTATTACTAAATAAATATGCTTGAGCTGCTTGGTCCTTCTTCACCATTTGTCTCTTGATGTATGTCCTATACAACTTACCACCAGCTACGCGGGTTTGTCGCTTGCGTCGTTGGTCTGGCCTACTGAAGGCCGATCCAGTCTGCAACGCTTCCATCAGACTATCCATAACACCTTCCTGAGTCTCATGTGCGTTCATGTCGACTAATGCGCGTTTACGCGCAGCTCGTGCCGCCTTTTCTGCTTCTGCTTTTTCACGCGCTTCTCTCGTCCGCCTCTGTTTCTCCTCGCCCTCCTTCAGCTTTATTATCTCCTTCTGCGATTGCTACGGTGAGAATATAGAATCGCATTAGATAGCGATTGAATAGACTGCGACGTGACGTATTAGCGCGTATTTACCAAGAAATCATCTTTGAACGTCTTGATATCGCCAAAGAATTCCTCTATGGTGTACTTCTGCTTGTCGAAAGAAAAGAATTCTGAGATGTCCGTGTACAGAGTATCCATATTTTTAAACATATTTTGCAGAACCTCGTAAGATTCTCTAGCTTTCTTGGCGAATGGCTATAAAGTAACTCCGTTAAGAAAATACCTCTATTTGATCCACACAAGATCAACAAATGATGTCATTAATGATTACGTTCAGTAGGCAAAGGAAGGTACATATTTTCAAGGATTTTCTGACTTGGGAATTATTTTTCTATGTTTTCTTATGTATTTTTCTTTTATTTTCTTTCTACAAACCGAAAAAATAATCATTATAATAACGCCAGTCTTAAGGAAAAATTGGTACATAATTGAAATATAGTGAATAAAATCCTTATTTACATCATTATAAAATCACTATCAATTATATAATATTTCAATAATTTATTTATAAAATTAATTTCAAATTGAATCAAATGCGAATATTGCACCACAAAACGTTAATTAGATTATCTTTTATTATAATAACATATTTTAATATGATAATATTTGTAATATCGGTATCGGTGCGTTGCGCAACGCTTGCAGTGGAGAAAACAGTACCGAGATGAAAAATATTATAACAAAAAATATAATCTAATTAGCGTTTAATGATGCAATATCATTCGCATTTGATCCAATTTGGAATTAACTTCATAAATAAATTACTGAAATATAATTGACAGTGATTTTATAACGATGCAAATAAAGATTTCATTTACTATATTTCAATGTACCAATTTTTTTTTAAGTTTGGCATTATTATAATGATTATTTTCGGTTTCTACAAAGAAAAACATATAAAAAAACATAGAAATAAAACAATCCTCGAGTGGTCACAAAACTCTTGAAAATTTGTACCCTCCATTGCTCAATGCACGCTCAGTGATTGTTTAATATGATTGACTTTTGCTGTTAGTTCTTTAATGAAATGTAGAAACTAATTCTAATAAGAAATAACTCAGCGTTCATTAAACTATTTTATCTGTACATTAATGGTTATTAACAAAAAATTAGTGAAGGATACTTTCATGACATCTATAAATAAGTCTTCATCGCACTGTGGAACTTTGGCATTCGTAAGATCCTGTTCGAGATTACGGATATTGGTATCCATTTGACATAACGTTCTCTGAACATTTTCTAAAGACACTCTACTGGCACGGTCTACATGTGTTATTTCCTCAATGAAGCTGAGACATTCTGGAAACTTTCTCTCTATCGTATCCACCAAATAATGCATAAGAGTTTGCTTGTTATCGACATCTTTAGTACTGGTCAACTAAAAAAAAAGTCGTGAAACTGCATCGAAACAATAAGCGGTTCATGCATATACTACACATACAGACATATGTTACAGAACAAACCTTTGTAAGAAAATTAATCTCGAATCCGAATGCTTGGCCATTTTTGGAACCGGAATTCATATAGTTTCCGAGTAACAATATTAATTCAAGAATTCGTGCAAACTTTTTGCTACTTTTCACTTCTTCGCATGCTGCTGTAGCTGCTACTATGTCAGGTTTTATATCCTGTATCAACTCTTCATATCGCAACATAAAGCTTAATGATCTCAATCTGGGTAATAACCGTTTTATTGTAGATATCTGTAATATTGATGTCAGTGAAATAAAAAAATTGAAAAAAATTATACAAAAATTAAATACATTACCGTGACACAAAATTGTTCCGCTTCAGTCAAGTCATCGTACTGATCTTTGTACATCTGTAATTTTGACAATTGATCTGGCGGAGGTAAGTATTGAATTAATCCTTGTAATATATTATCAGAAATAACTGGTCCTTCACATCGAAATAAACATCTTTTTACTTCCACGTAAGGCATGTGCTTTAGTGTCCCACCGAGAAGTATTGATATATTTTGAGCCGCTTTATTATCCAAAACTTTGAGATCCTTTACTTTTTTCGTTGGGGCTGACCTACGTGTACGAAAAATTTATTAATAACTTATGTAATATCATTTTAAAAATGATAATTACTGAGGTGAAATTTACTTATCAACTACATCGTCTATTTTTTTCCCACTCGGTTTGGAAGCGAACTTTTGTGCAAGACCATCCAATATTTCTGGACTAGCTAATTTGTCTTCTTGTACTTTTGTCCAGAATGACTTTTCTGTCATTCTGTGAGGTAAAATCTGAAATACATAAAGTTTTACATAGCAGAAATTATACTACCATAAAAAATTGTGAATATTAAAATCATTATATCTTCTATACCGATAATAATTTATTTGATTAATATAAGTACATTATACACATACCGCTTTCCAATTTGCTCTTTTCAATGGTCCATCTACTTCCCACTTCTTTTTCGGTTTTAATCCATGAGGCAAAACTTGTATCACTGGAGGCGATGGAGATAATGCTCCCATTATCGGTGGTACTAAAGGACCCATTCCTGGCATAGGTGGTGGTGGAGGTCCTCCTATTCCAAGCAGAGGTGGAGGTGGAGGTCCTTTTAAACCGGGCATAGGCGGAGGAGGTGGACACATCATTCCAGACATAGGTGGTGGTGGAGGTGGGCCACTACCGCCAGGAAAAGGAGGTGGCGGCGGCGGTAGTCTGCTACCCATTTCGGGCATAGGTGGTGGAGGCGGACATACAGCAGTCCTCTATATATAAAACAAAATAATGTTTTTAAGATTATTCAATTTATATGCTAGTTGTGTAATTTAAGGAGACGACAAAAACGTTATCTAAGTAACAATCGTATACACGATCTGAGTTCTTTAAAAATAATTTCACATTGCTAATATTACAAATATTAGAAAATATTAAGTTTTCATTATTCAAAATGATTATTATTCAATATAAATGTTAAATAATAAAATCTGATGGATTTTGATTAAAAAGTATTTCTAAAGATAATTGACTTGTATTCAAATAAAATATAAAATTATAATAAAGATGATAGAGTTATTAAATATACAAGGTGTCTCACTTTAACTTTGACACCGAAATATCTCGAAAATTATAAAAGATATGGGAAAATGTTTCAGACAAAGTTGTAGGTTTAAAATGGTTTATTTAATAATTATACTTATTCAACATTGGCGTTGTCAAGATCAGGATGAGCTCATTTTAAATTTTTTTAATAAAACCCCCTAAATTTTATTGCATATTATAGCCCTTTTTGAGACCTTTCCAAAACACTATAACACTTAATTCACTTTAGGTCAGCTGTTTTGAGGTTATCGAAATTTATATAGTAAGATGTTCACCAAACAAAGATCGATGACTGATCCAGTTAGTGAAGACAAAATCGAGGGATAATTCGACCAACTAAGACAGATGATCCAGCCAATAAAAGCAAGATCGAGGGATACTCCGACTAATAAAAGGTTGAATATAAGATAGGAGGATTAAGGAACTTTGTCTAATTGTCATTACGTATCATTCTTGAAATTAAATATTCAAAGAGTGTTCTGTTATTATATTGGGTGTGTGAATATGACTCCGCCCTTTTTTGTAAAAATAAAATACATTTACTTGTTTAGAAAATGAAATAATTATTTATTCAAAGCTCCATCTGCAGCTACAACCTTCGCCCATCTTTCAGGCAATTTACGGATTCCTTGCATGAAGAAGTCCTGGTTTTTTGAGGCAATCCAATTATCAAGCCAAATTTTGATTTCGTAAGAAGTAAATCGCTCTCCTGTAAGATCTGACTGCATCGTCCGGAATAAGTAGTAATTTAAAGGAGCTATGTCTGGCGAATATAGCCGGTGAGGTAGCACTACCCAGTCCTGTCCATTTAAATATGTTTTCACGACTTTTGCAGTATGCGGTCTGGCGTTGTCATGTTGAAAAATTAATTTGCTATGCCTATTCATCCATTCTGGTCGTTTTTCTTCTATAGCTACCTTCAAACGCATTAGTTGTCGTCGGTAAACATCGCCAGTGATAGTATCAGACGGTTTCAGCAACTCATAGTGCACAACACCTTTCTGATCCCACCAAATACAGAGCATAACCTTGGAACAATAAATATTTTTCTTTGGCTGTAATGGGTCGGCTTCACCTGACTTCACCCAGGCTTTTTTGCGTTTTGGATTCTCATAATATATCCATTTTTCATCTCCAATAATTATTCGATGCAAAAAACCTTTTCCTTCTTGTTTTTGAAGCAGCATTTCACAAATGGTTTTTCGACGTTCGATGTCTGTCTTTTAATTCATGTGGAACCCAGTTACTAGCTTTTTGAACCATTCCTATTGCTCGCAAACGTTTTGCAACAGTTGATCGATCGAAATTTAATGTTGCTGCCAATTCTGATTGTGTTTGACAACAATCTTCAGCCAATGATTCTTCCAATTCAGCGTCTTCAAATTTTTTGGGTGGTTTTCCTGAATGTCAAAATCATCGTTTTTAAACCGTCGAAACCATTCTTTGCAAGTTGTATTTGATAGAGCATGCTCACCGAAAATATCCACAAGCAAATGATAAGTTTCCGCTGCACTTTTCTTTGCAATAAAATTGTGCAATAAAACTTCCCGCAAATGATGTTTATTTGGAATAAAACCCGACATTTTCAATGCGATAAAAATACTTGTTGTTTACGCTTCAACCGTATATCACACACTGCGTTTGACAGCTGACACAAAGTACTATCGAATACAAGTATTGACATTTTAATGTATACGCGTAAGCAGTGATACTAGCGAACCTATTGGAAAGGGCGGAGTCATATTCACACATCCAATATATCCAAGCACAAAATCAGTTTGCGTCTAAAGTTTTGCAAGACTCCTCTGAGTATTTGCGGCGTTTGAATTCCTTCTGACTCTTTCCATCATATCTCGTAGTTGCTTCCTGATACACAGCATCTTTCACATATTCCCATAAATAGTAATCTAGAGAATTTAGATCCGGTGATCTTGGAGGCCATAAGACTGATCTTCCTATCCAATAATATGGATATGTTCAAACATTATCCTATTGAAATCAAAATATTTAGAGAACATCCAGTTGAATGTCCTGAAGATATCCTGGTAAATGATTTTGGAGAAAATCTAAGTAAATTAGACCGTTAATTGTACATTTAAAAAAAATGTAACCTAATAATTTGATCATTACGTATGTCAATCCAAACCTAGAGGTTCCAACGATGCTGATTGACCACCTGTCGATACCAGTAAAAATTTATTAATGATCAGTAATGACTATTGTGCCTATTGAAATTGCCATGAAATGTAGCTTCGTCACCAAAACAGATATTCCAAAAGAAATTTGAATTCTACTCCAATGCATCGAGTGCCATCTACAAAATTGAATTCTCAGTCTGCAATTACCTTCGCTTAATTTCTGTACCAAATTGAAGTAATAAGGGTGGTATTGTGCGAATTGTAATATTCGATAAGTTGTAGATCGAGAGATTCCAAATTCATGTTTTATTTGTCGAGCAATGACGTATGGATTGAAATAAATCAAGCCCAAAATTGCAAGAAGTTTAAGGTCATCCCTCGATCTTGCCTTCACTACCTGGCTTAATCTTCGTTGGCTGGATAATTTACCATATAAATCTCGATAACTTCAAAACAGCTGATCCAAAGTGTATTTGATTATAGTGTTTTAGGTCGTAGAAAGGACTATAATAATATGCAATAAAATAAAAAATCTTATTTAAAAAATTTAAAGTGACCTCATCTTGACTTTGACAACGCCATCCAATGTTAAACGGATATGATCAATAAATAGACCTTCTTCAGAGGACCCTGAAGCGACGGCCGAATTAAATCGATGTCGATAAAATAGATTTTTAATTCCAAATAAAATATTACGTACATCAAGGAAACATATACGTACATTAATTAAAACACATATGATGGTAATATACCCAGAGCGTATGAATTAACCAAAATTCATAAGCCTGGCAATCCCCTAAGAATTATTGTTTCGTCTGTCAATAGCCCATTATATTATTTGTCATTATTCTTACACAATATTATTATAGCATATCTGAAGCACCTAGTCAGGTAAAAAATAGTTTCCATTTTGTCAACAAATTGAATGGGACTTATTTTAAGCTTGACGATACGTTAGCTTCTTTAGATGTAGTGTCTCTTTTCATTAATGTTCCCATAGAACTAGCATGTGAGAGCATTAAAAAAAGATGGGATCATATATCTTATAATACAAAAACACCTTTAGATAAATTTTTAATTGCATTACATTTTGTTTTAAACTTATTTTTCTTTTAATGGCAATTTCTACAAACAAATTTTTGACACCTTCATGGAATCTCCAATATCCCTTATTATAGCTGAAATAATTTTACAAGATCTAGAATCATTAGTTATTGATTATAGATTACCTACACAACTTTCTTTCTACTTTAGATATGTAGATGACATTATATTAGCAGTTCCTTCTGACACTTTGAATAACATTCTTAACACTTTTAATTCGTTACATACAAGACTAAAATTTACTGTAGAATTTGGAGATAATGGGAGATTGAATTTTTTGAACATTACTGTCATTGTCGACAAAATAAAATCATTTTTGATAGGTATCAAAAACCAACCTTTTCAAGTATATTTTTAAATTTCCATTTCCATCATCCTTTATGTCATAAGAGAGGAATTATTTATGATGCAGTTGATAAAATTGTATTATTATCTCACCCTAAGTTTCAACAAAGAAATTTTATTGATGCTATTCACACTTTTTTAGATAATGGCTATCCTCTTAACTTCATTTTTTTACCATACAAAAAAAATTAATTACCATATTCACAATAAAAATAAAACAGATAATATTAGTGTGCATTAATTTTAAAGGATTTTCAAGAGATGGCGTAACTATTATAGTACTGTCGCATCGAACCATATTGTTGCTACCTTCATGTTCAAAGCACCATCATGTGGCTTTAATTTTCAGTATGTGTCATTTTGCCGAAGTGTAAACAACATTGTTTTATTGAACATCGAATATATCGAATTTTGTGCCAACAAAACACAATTTGCAAGCTTTGCTTTTTTGCTTCCATTTGAAGAAAAGTGCTAAAAGTCAACGAATGCTGTCGAAACTTATGATAATTATACTCCATCGATTTCAACATATCAGTACTGGTTTTGATGTTATAAAAAAGGTGATTTTGACACCGAAGACAAGGAATGTCCAGGCCAGCCGAAAAAGTTTAAAGATGAGGAAGTGGAAGCTTTACTCGATCGAGTAAAATGCAAGAAGAATTTGCAGAATCATTAAATGTTGATCGATCAACAATTTCCGTTTGAAGGCCATTGGAATGATTCAAAAACAAGGAAATTGGGTGCCGTACGAGTTGAAGCCGAGGGACAAGCGAAAGGTGCAAAATGACCTGTGAATTGTTGCTTTAAAGACACAGAAAAAGTTTTTTACATCGTATCATGATGGGTAATAAAAGATGGATACGCTACGATAATCCGAAGCGCAAAAAATCATGGTGCAGGCCAAGCGAACCATCAACATCGATGGCAAAGCTGAATATTCGTGGCGCCAAGCTCATGCTCTGTATGATGGGATCAGCTGGGTGTAGTGCATTATGAGCTGTTCTAACCCAACGAAATCCATCACTGGGGAACGCTACCAACAATAATTGATGCAATTGAGCCGAGCATTGAAGCAAAAA